AAATGTATATTTATTGGGCTTTTATGTGATAGACCAACACAATGTGGCACATTGTGAAGTGAAAGGAAAATTATAAATAGTTTTCAAAAATATATACAAATAAATATCTGAAAAGTGTGGCGTACATTTGGATTCAGCTCGCTTTACTCTGATTCCTCTGACTAAAATCTAGTGGAACCAATTGCCTTCAGAAGTCACCTAATTAGTAAATAGAGACCACCTGTGTGTAATTTCATCTCAGTATAAATACAACTATTCTGTGAAGCCCTCAGAGGTTTGTTAGAAAACATTAGTGAACAAACAGCATCATGAATCATTAGTAGTAAATGTTTTGTCTTATCCCTTTGTTTGCTACATTTGCAGGACAGCTTGTTCTTTTGAACTAAGGCATCCATGCTATTTAAGAATTGGTAAGCTGCAATATCATAAATGTTTGCTTTTAGGTTTAATACCACTTTGAAATGGAACTTAACTATCTGATTTCCACAAACCGAAAACGCTGTTTAATTATTTTCTATCATTCAACGTAAACTTGCTCATGCATCCATGTCTCCATGTTTAATTTCATTGTGAAATACACCCCCCTAGCACTGGTAGCCATGGCCATCTTTAGCATTTACTTCTTTGAATCCATCTGCCTTTAGCTCAGGCATGCAGGCAGGATGGTGGGCATGTTTGAAAACGTGTGAAAAATGAGCCAAGAAACTGGGCTTCTGGCTGCATTTTTTTTTTTTTTTACACATTGCACATTTTCCACCCCTGATGAAGTAAAAAATGGCAAAACGTGTTTGGGTTTTTGGAATTTTGAATAGCACTTCTTTTACTTCGTATTTTCAGACAGTGCAGGGAAAGTTGAGACTTCTTTAGAACAGATGGAGTAATCCATGGAAAGATTTTGGCTACTGAAATAGTGTTTAAACATTTTAATCACATGCTCAGATGACAATCTAAGCATGCAACATAGTCTTAATGAGCCTCTAAGGGCAAGTTCACACCACAGAAACCCAGTCAGGATGTGTTCCTGGTGCTTTTCTGTATGCATGTTTTTGCTTTGTTTTTGATGCATTTTATACACCTTTTTGATGTGTTTTGGTTCATTTTTGCACCCTCTCTTTTTCTTCAACTTAAATAAGGAATTGTGTGCTCCAGGTGTGTTTAGGTGCTTTCCGGGGCATTTTTTATGTATTTTACTGCGTTTCAGTACAGAAAAAATGCAGCATCTTCTACTTTTTGTCTGGAACTGGAACGCACTGATGTGACCTAAGTCATTGGAAACCATGTAACCTACTAGCAATGCGTTTTTGATGCACACAAAAAATCCACACTGGACTGCATGTGAACTGGCCCTTAAAGCGGTAATAAACACCGCGGGGCACTTGTACCTACAGGTAAGCTTATAGTAAAGCTTATCTGTAGGTAAAAAGAATACCTCCCAAACGTGCACCGATTAGGAGATATTGTCTGTTTCTTCAGCTGGTGACATTACCCGTGAATGCACTCTGAAGGGACGACATACTCATGCTTTCCCTTCGGAGCTCTGTGCCGTAGCTGTGACTCCCGTGCGCATGCGCAGGGGTGATGTAATTGCGGCTTGGCTGTTAAAACGGCTGGATCCTACACAGGGGATGACTGACCATTTGGAAACTCGGGCACTGCCTGAGGGCCCGGGGTCAGTAGGGGGCCCCATGAGATGCCCATGGTACCTTTTTCATAGGCTTTTTTGAGTTTGGGCAAGGACACAGGGGCCCCATGATCCCCTATTGCCCAGGGGCCCCACGAGTTGTCAGTCTGCCCCTGATCCTACAAACCTAGAAGGAAGACCTGGTGAAGATGGAAGCCTTGTTAGTGGTGACAGCGTGCTACTAGAGGGTTTTGTTCTCAGGTATGTTTTTCATAATGTGCTAGTATGTAATGCATACTGTATTAGCACATTATGATATTGCTTTGCAGGAGGGTTTTTTTTTTGAATTGGTGAAAGTTTTTACTACGGCTTTAAACTCTACTCTACTCTACTCTACTCTCATTGCCCTCGTGTACCGACTCTGGTGCCTACTGATTGCATCCTCAGCCATTCTGCATTCCATTTTGGGATGAAAATGAAGTCATTTGCAGCTCATAACCAGTAGCACAGCACAAAGTATTTTACTTTATTGATGGAGTATTAGTAGCATTTACAGAATATTATTACTCATATTAATATAAATTTTTATTATTATTATTATACCTTGTACTATTATTTAAAGTAGTATTTTTTTTTTCATATATTAAAGGGTAAAGGCTTGGAGTTATATGAATAATGAAGAGTTTGGGGACCCCTGATAAACCCCCCGCACTATATTATATAATCTAAAGAGTGTAGTGTTCATAATATATCTCAGTTTCAACAAAAAAAGTGATGTTTATATACTTCCTATATGTATTTTGCACTGATATACTGTATTACACAGTAGTGTGCAATATGTTTACAGGTTGTCAGCCAGACCCCATTCTCCAGACTAGGTTTGGGCAGGTTAATTACCCTAGCAGTATGTTTTTAGATTGTGGCACAAAAAAACCACCGAAACATGGGTAGAACAGAATGTACAAACTCCATGCAAATATTGTTGCAGGTAAGATTCCATAGACCCAGACCTTCAACGCTAGAATACTAGCCACTGTACTCAGTTGTGTATTTAGGTTTTGTGCTGCCCTAGGCAACACAAAAATCAGATTTCCCCCCCCCCCCCCCCTTCCCTGCCCGGCGGAGAGCCTAACACCGACCAACACCAGCCCCCCCACCCGAGAGAGCCTTCCACTAACACACACTCACACATCCCGCGTGAAAGAGACACTCACCTTCACAGCTCTAAACATCCCCAGGAGCAACAATTGGGCTCTGCATACACCATCAAGCAGCCCACAGCCTCTCTCGGATCCCACCTGGTCCCCTTGGCGCATATGTCCCTTCTTCCAGAAGCAGTGCTTCCCCCCTAAAAAAAAAATGCCACCCTAGGCAAATGCCTTGTTTCCTTGTGGTAAATACGCCCCTAACTGTACTGTCCAATACAAAAATAATGTAATGCAATAGCCATTTGGTGGACTTTTTTTCTTTTTAGGCCTCCATGCACACAAGATGTTTTTACAGCTGCTTCTAGACGCATCTGGCATGTTAGCCTATGTGTCCATGCACACATACACTTCAAGGCTCTGTGTACTCCATGTTTTATTAACGCTGGTAAAGTTAGCTGTGTAAAGTCACGTTAAAAACCTGCGGTTTCCAGTTTTTTTTTATCGTTTTTCCATTAGCATTTAGCAGCGTTTTTGTTTTTTTGCATTAGCATTTTTAAAAGTCCAAAAATGCTGGTTTGCGCGTTTTTTACCGTGTTTTGACGCATTTTTCTGTGTTTTTCAGCGTTAGAGCGTTTTTACAGCTAAAAAAACTCCTCTAGAAACCCACTAGTTCTGTGTTTTTTTTCCAGCCAAAGGCCTAAGACATTTAATGGCAGGAAAAAAAACACACTGCCAGTGCATCTAGGAAAAGCAGATATTTGGTAGAAAAAATTCTAGATGTGTGTAAATGCATCTAAACACATGTCAACGTTAGACTTGTTTAGTACTAGGGCATTAAATTAATTCATTTCAATGGCCAGAATAAACTATTTATTCAGGCCAATGAAATTAATTAACGCCCAACACTTGATACCTGTAAATGAGGGTGAACGTGGCTAAACGAGTTACACAATTTTACAAGAATCAGGGCGTTTTTTTTGCCCAAAATCTTGCTGACAGGAGGAGGCTTCTTGGAGAGTTAAAGAAAATGTCCAGTGTACATGAGGCCTTATAGAAAACATAGCTATTCTCAGTTGTTATGTGCGATTATGTAGCCACACAAATAAGGACAGTTTAGCATAAAAGCACATCAATAATTACATTTTGTTGCTTTTAATGCTGTGACAGGTTTATTGATGTTCCTTCATAGTCTTGATCTTTGTTATCCAGCTGTCATTTTTTTTAAATTAAACCGTATGTGGTTTTTTAAATCCATAGTATTTGTTCACGTGGTGGTCTAGTTCCTTCAGCAGTGGAGGAATAAAAATATCCAGAAAAGCAGTGCATTCCCTCCAGTTCTCCCATGCATAAATCATTTCCATGATCACTTAATTGCCTAAATAGGCCAGTTAATTCTGTGTATTGCTGAAGAAGGAACTCCAGTCAGATGAGAACATTTCATACCCAGTTTAAACATGAAAAAGATCAAAGCTTGCTTTAATCTTGGAGTTTAATCATGACACTCTTTCATCCAGTAACATTCATTTTATAGTCAATCCGCAACTTTCTTTTATTTGCCAACATGTATATAAAACACACATGATATCAACTGACTTCTTAAAACTTGTTAAACTAGCCTTATACTGGAGCTCATGTGAAACAGAAAGTAGCAACAGCTTATATTAAGGCTGAAGTTAAATCATACATAAAAATTAAGAATAATCCTTGCTGAGGTGATAAAGCAATTTGAATAAAGTGGCTTCTATACGATTGTGATACCAACTGAAATAACACCTTAATAGGTGTGGTTGTATTGAAAGCGGGTGTCTTTCCTGCTATGGGAACTGGTGGCCGTATCATGGAGGCTTTACCATTTTTTCCTGATAAGCTGTGTGGTAGCTAATTTTCTCCATTTAGTTGTTGAGCTTGATTTACAGCATCTGGCCAGTCCTCCTACGACGTCATTTCTGACGAAACGCATTGAATGTGGCTACAACGTGACATCATCACGCACGCCCACTGACTGGTGTCCATGCAGTCTGCTACACTGGCATTTAGTTATATCTCTGACGTTTTTTTTAAACTTTTTTTTCTACTACTATTTTTACATATTGTTGCAGTTTGCACTATTAGTGAGCCTAAATAAATGTGCTTTACTGCTTCACAATGAGTATTCCACCATTTTATAATCCATACAGCTGCACTTCACTGAGGCAGAGGTGATCCATGCGAGATGGTTGGATCAAGCCAGGAGACTACATGTGGAGGATCATTCTTGCGTTAATGGCTGTCAGGAATAGACTCACCCTTAGTTGGTGGGACTCCTCTGCCATGTGGGCTGCAGTACCAGGGCTGGCCAGCGGGTGCTCTCAGCAACCAGAAGCTCACTCCTGCAGTCAGCCATCACCTGAGGCTGATTGCAGGAGGTGTATTTAAGGAATGGCCGGACCTACAGTCAGTGCCTTGGTGTATGTTTCCCATGAGCCCCTGTACCTGCATTCTGTCTGCTTCCTGCCTGATCCTGACTCTGCTTTGATCCTGACTCTGAACGAACTCCGCCTGTCTGTCCCGACGACGTCGGCTATTCCTGACCACTCTTCCGCTCGCTCCTGGAACCCTGTTTGCCCGTTGCTACCGACCCGGCCTGCCCAACTACGTTTGATTGTATATATGGTTTATCTGTTGGGTGTGGGTTGTTTGCACAGTGTTATGTTTACCTTGCACTGCGTTTGTGTTTTTAGTCTTCAATAAATTGTCTTGTTTACACTATACCTGAAGCCTGCTTTTCCCTGTGTCAGTCCACACACCTCTGGTCATACCCGGAGCCCTGACATTACACCAAGGCCATTCCTGACCAGAAGTGGCTGCACAGGGAAGCCATCTTGGCTTGTTGTTGTGAAGGATGCATCCTGTGGAGGTGGTATACTTGTATTTGCTAGTCTTAGATGACAGAGAATATGCCTATCAGACTCTGCAGGAGTATACCAGGGATCAGCTGCTAGAGTGCATACGGGTCGCTCATTCCCTAGTAGATCAGGGCACAGAGTTCTCTGAGGTGCAACCATTGATTCAGGCTTGTGTTGAGTTGGCTTCATCTAGTACCCCTGAAAGCAGGGATGACTTTCTTCCACAATTCAGTGTGGATAAAATAGAATCACTGGTATGGTTGTTGGAGGATGATCCAGATTGCTTCTGGGAACATTATTCAGCATGTTAACCACATGTGCTAATGGAGTGTATAAACGCAGTGCAGTCTTTGGTCAGACAGGCTATGTATAAATCTGAGTTTTTTGTTCAACCAATACTACAGTCCTGGTCAGATTTATTACACCCAGCCTCAGTCAGCTTGCAACAAACCCGTCCTGCTTCTAATCATTCCTCTGCTCCAAGCTCTATTCCTGCATTCCCGACAGCACCCCCAGTGACAGCCCAATATACCCTGCTATCTACCACATGTCAGTACCCTGTTCCCACTCGCTGCACCAATCCTGCCTTTAACCCTGTAAAAAAGGCCGCTGTAACAACTATTCCCTCCTCTGTTCCACCCTCCAGCTCTTCTCTGTCCCCAGCTACTCCATCCATTTACAGACCTGCATTTACTTGCAGTGCCCCAGTAACTAAACCCAAGAAGAAGCAAAAATTCTTTTCAACCAGTAGCATCCTACCAGTATCCAAACCGGTCAGCCTGCTGTCTGAGAGCCCGCCTTCCGTTCAGCCTGATGACCCAGTGTACGCTACCCAGCCTGATGGCCCGATCTGGCCGGCCTGATGGCCCGATCCGCGCCTGGTGCCCGCTACCCAGATGGCCCGATCCGGCCTGATGGCCCGATCCAGCCTGATGACTCGGTGTTCGTGATCCAGCCTGATGGCCCGGTGTTCGTGATCCAGCCTGATGGCCCGGTTGTTCGTGATCCAGCCTGATGACCCGGTGTTCGTGATCCAGCCTGATGACCCGGTACGTGATCCAGCCTGACCCCCGACCCAGCCTGATGACCCTACCCAGTCCGGCCTGGTGCCCGGTGCCCGCTGTTCTACCAGGTGACTCGGCCCGCCCGCTGTTGTGCCAGGTGACTCGGTGCCCCGCTGTCGTGCCAGGTGACTCGGCGCCCGCTGTCGTGCCAGGTGACTGTCGTGCGATGACTCCCGCTGTCGTGCCAGATGACTCGGTGCGCGCCCGCCAGATGACTGTCGCTGCCAGGTGACTCGGCGCCCGCTGTCCTGCCAGATGTGCCTCTGTCCGCCCGCTGCCCAGCCTGATGTGCCTCCGTCCCCCAGCCTGATGTCCAGCTAAAAACTGGCCAATAACTGATTCCCAGCCTGCTCCGGGAGATCCTGTGTCCAGTAACCTGCCTTCCTGGGTTCTCCTACACAAGGAGAAGTCTACCAGCAGGAAACCCAGCCAGCCGGTTGACTCCGGCAGTAGGATATCCAGCCAGTTACCTGACCCGGGCGATGGAACATTTTGCCCACTAAGGACTGTTTGGAGCGTCCTGAGGCCACTCCTTGAGGGGGGGTACTGTTAGGAATGGACTCACCATTAGTGGTGGGACTCATCTGCCGTGTGGGCTGCAGTACCAGGTCTGGCCAGCGGGTGCTCTCAGCAACCAGAAGCTTACTCCTGCAATCAGCCATCACCTGAGGCTGATTGCAGGAGGTGTATTTAAGGAATGGCCAGACCTACAGTCAGTGCCTTGGTGTATGTTTCCGATGAGCCCTTACCTGCATCCTGTCTGCTTCCTGCCTGATCCTCCTCTGCTTTGATCCTGAGAACCCCGCCTGTCCTGACCTCAGCTATTCCTGACCACTCTTCCTGCCTGATCCTGACCCTGTTTGCCTTTGCTACCGAGGCTGATTGCAGGATGTGTATTTAAGGAATGGCCAGACCTACAGTCAGTGCCTTGGTGTATGTTTCCGCTGAGCCCCTGTCCTGCATCCTGTCTGCTTCCTGACCTGACTCTGAACGAACTCCGCCTGTCCTGACGTCAGCTATTCCTGACCACTCTTCCGCTCGCTCCTGGTACCCTGTTTGCCTGTTTGCTACTGACCCGGCCTGCCCGACTACGTTTAATTGCATATATGGTTATCTGTTGGGTGTGGGTTGTTTGCACGGTGTTATGTATACCTTGCACTGCGTTTGTGTTTAGTCTTCAATAAATTGTCTTGTTTACACTATACCTGAAGCCTGCTTTTCCCTGTGTCAGTCCACACACCTCTGGTCATACCTGGAGCCCTGACAATGACCATTCATAATCTGATTGTCCTGGCAGTTTGGTAAGAGGCCTTTTAAACGGTGCTTGGCGGTGGAAGCATTTTCATCTCTCTGGAAAGTGGACTAGTTATGTTGTTAAAAATTGGTTGTGGACTTTGGACATCTCTTTTTGGTTAGTATGGTTTTGAGCATTTATGTTTCTGAGAAATCTTGCATGTTGTATGGATTTATTCATTTGCACATTTTCACTTTATTTTTATGTTTTGTGATCACAATATCTGTTGAATTTGCACTGCTCTAGGTAGTTTGTTTGATAACATTTTGCCTTCTGTGGTTTCTCCTTCCCCCCTCAAAACATGCTAATGATATTTTTAAATACAGCTTTCCTGTTTTTATCACACACCTTCTTTTTGATCTAGAATGCAAATGTACAATCCAAATGCACACATTCCTATGTTAAAAATGGCTGTGTGTATAAGTGGGTGCTGCAGCGACCATCGGCAGGAACAGAACAGAATCAGCAAGGGAGAATGTCACCAGCACACCGAGGATCACCAGTATGGGTCCAAAAGGTTTAATAAACGATCACATGGTTACAGCAAAGCAACGTTTCGGAGTCTCGCAGGACCCCTTTATCAGGCATGTGAAGGGGTCCTGCAAGACTCTGAAACGTTGCTTTGCTGTAACTATGTGATCATTTATTAAAACTTTTGGACCCATATTGGCAATCCTCGGTGTGCTGGTGACATTCTCCCTTTCTTTTAGATCTAGTGACATCATTACTAGGTCTTTGTGCTCCTCTATGCAATGCAGGTAGATCACTACTGGTGGGAGGGGCCAACAGCTGCTGTACATAGCTTTGTGAAAACAGAATATTATTATACAGGATTTATATAGCGCCAACAGTTACATTTCCATGTTTCACAGGTGCATGCCAACCAGAAAATGCACCGGAAATGCATAAAAAATGCATATGTGTTTTAATGTTGTTTTTCACTGCAAAAGCATCCTAAATGATTCTGGACGTCCTCCAGTTGGGAAGTGACGTAGTCTGTAGTTGACTTGCTGCAGCTTTTAATTCACACAGTGTGAAGCTTACAGTCAAACCAGAGCAAGCAACTTCAGTACATGCGAGGAGCCTGTAGAACTGTACAAATCAGAAAGTAAAGCTGCATGTACACTAGTCTAGTAGATCTTCAAAGAAAAATTTGCACAAAATTCAAATGAAGATTTGTGCCTTAAATTCTCAGGACTTTTGATGACTTGATGATTGCCATTTAAAATGTTGTTTGCTTTTAACATTCGATTTTGGAATGAATGTAATTTCCCAAACGAAAACCACACACACTCTTAGAAAAATGTTTGTCCTCCTTCCAATTTTCTCATCACTACACTCAAAAACAAATATCAATTTCATCCCACTAATGGAAGTTTGAAAGAACATTCTTAAAACGAAAATTTTCAGAATTAAATACCAGCTTAAAGTGGTATTAAAATCAAAAGCAAACATTTATTGTATTAGATTCTTGGATCTGGTAGATGCATTGGTTTTTTTTATTAGGCTTTCTTTCCTTTATTTGCAGTGTTACTAAACCCAGGACCCTGCATTTACTATATCTGGTCTCCCACAGTACATCAGCGGTTAGAGCAGTCTTGTGACTTCTATCAGTGTCCAGCAGAGCACTGCTTAAAGCTTGTAGGAGGAGTTTTCTTTCTGCTCTAGGAGAATGAAACACCTGACCCTATGTCTGGACAGTGCTGATTGGCCCTTTGCTGATCACATGCACTTTCCCAAGGAAAAAAATAAACCTCTCTAGCAATACACACCAAACTGAGCATGTGAATACGGATTCAGTCTGTATCAGGTGTTCATTTCAGCAAGAGGAGGGGCAGATAAGAAAGGATCAAACAGCCTTTTTACACAATGCAGAGGATTGACCCCTTAGGTTCCACAGTAAGTATAACAAGCATGCTTTACTGCATATACAGACTGATTTGACTGTTGTGGGTTTAGTAACACTTTATGCCTGTTGTTTTTCAACAGAACAAGCTGTCCTATAAATGTAGCAGTTTACGTGTTGAGACAAACCATTTACCACTGACAGGGGTGCTTGCAATGATCCGCTTTTATTTATTTATTTATTTATGGGAAACCTTTATCCCTTATCCCAAAAGGAAAAAAAAACGGTTTGCTGTAACTGTTTATAAAGTATAGGTTGGAGTTTGGCTTCAATTTTATTAGTATATTTAAAATCTGCTAGTACATCTAACACTCCCCTCCACCTCAGATTGACAATGCTGCTGTCCATAGGTGCCCCCTGTGTGCCCAGAGTGTAGGCATTCTAATACAGGAGTTGTGTCACTGTCAGTGGTGTATTTAGGTTTTCGTGCTGCCATAGGCAATACAAAAATCGACTCACCACCACGGAGAGACCCTGACACCAACCAACACCCGCCTCCCCCATCAAGAGAGCCTGAAATTGACCAACACCCCAGCCCTCCCCCATCCAAGAGAGCCTTCCACTACCACCGCCCCCCATACACTGGCAACCCCCCCACCCTGGCGAGAGAGAGAAAGACACTCGCCTTCACAGCTCCGGACGTCCTCAGGCTCTGAATACACCATCAAGAAGCCCACAGCCTCTCTCAGATCCCACCTGGTCCCCATGCTGCGTGTTTCCCTTCTTCCATCCCTTCTTTCGGGGGGCGGCTCTGCCCCCCTGAAAAATGCTGCTGCCCCCTGAAAAATGCCACCCTAGGCAAATGCCTTGTGGTAAATACACCCCTGGTTACTGTCCAGATCACCAGGTGAAAACAGAGAGCGAAACAAAAAACCTAAAAAAAAGAAAATGAATACAGCCCTTCCATCTAATGATTGGTAAGCTGCAATATATTACATTTTTGGTTTTGGTGTTTAATATCACTTTAAGGCTGAAGTTCAAGTGTGAATGCATTAGGTGTTGTAAGAAAAGATACTAGACATGGGATAAAAACGACAAAGACATTATTAACCAGGAATGGAGAGTTCAATGTGAGTTGCTTGATTTTCACATTCAGCCTACAGCTGAATTTGAAATGTATATATGCAACACTGGCTGAATTGGAATTTAAGATGAGTAGTTTTGTCACTAAAGCCCCAGATGTAAAAATGCAGCCAGCATATATTTGATATGAGTGATGTTTTATATTTGGATGAAATGTGCCCCTAATGCAGTCGTTCTTTTACAATGCTAGCAGTGTGACATATGCTGTTAAAGCTGAACTCTAGGGAGCTATAATAGGCACAAATGAATGCTGCTTTGTACTCATTAATCATTTGATTTTGATATATTCCTCAAAAGCCGCAAAGTATATAAATCCACTTTGTGTGTACCAAATGCCGTTACAAATCCAGATATTATCCTGTAAAGGAAGTAGTGACATCATCATTGTGCTGTACATAGCCTATGCAAAGAGCAGAGCTGTGGGAGGGGCCAAGCATGTCCACCCACTACAGGCTGGCTGCAGATAACCACAGTAGGGGGCGGAGACAAGACCAGTCATCCTGCACAAGGATAGAAAACAGCAGTGTTCGGTCTTTATTACAGGAAGTTCCTGTACAGAGAAAGTGTCCATTCACACCAGGAGCTGTGGGACTGCGTTGGGCGACTATTCCAGCATAGTCCCATTGTATCCCCACCACAGGACAAGGCAAAATGCTTTGTCTTCAGTGTGGTTGGGTCACATCACTGTGTTGCAGGCGTGTGAGGACAGTGTGCACTGAAAAAAAGGGCTTCTTTTCCAGAGCGGCACAAGTCACTGCATGCTGGCCAATAGAATTCTATCTATAAAACATCAAAACAGCGCAAATATTATAATAAAAATTAATAAACATACACTGCAGTGAAAATTTTTATAAATGATAATTAATAAAAAAAATAAACTCCAAATCAATAAAGTGAAAAAAAATAAAAAAATATATTCATGAAAGTCCTTTTTCAAAAAAACTTTTGACCTGTGTTTCCACTGAAATAGTGCTCAAATACCACACCACACTCACCAGATATTGGTGAAAAAAAACCCTTTTAGGGTTTTTTTTTTTGGGGGGGGGGGATCCTACACCCAGTCAATATGCCTCCAATCACCAGATATTTTTGGATCTCCCCTACTCTAGACAGGAATATAGCCAGCCTCCAACCTCCAGGATCACCAGACACCACTCTCCAAGAAAAAGGTTTGAATAATGCAGGGAAGAAAACAAATATATAGTGTAATACTGCAATACTCGGGCAGAATCAAACTCCAAGTACCAAACCACTCACGTTCTTAAAGTATAATCAGCATTTATTGTATTTCAAATGGAGCCAAAAACACCACATCACCAGGGTATTTCTGAGATTTCACAGTCAGCAACAGATGACAGCACAATCACCCACAAGAAGATGGACCCCGGGGACGCCGCACGCCGGCGTGCGTTCCACTCACCGGAAGTGACGTGCTACATTGGACGGCGAAGCCGGAAATGCTTCAACGTGTTTCGCCCCTCCTCCAGGGCGTTTTTTTGTTTATAGCACAAAAAAATTTAAAAACAAATATCACCAAAGGAAAGTTCAATTTGTGAGAAACTAGGATATAAATTTCATTTTGGGTGCAGCGTTGCATGATTGCACAATTGTCAGTAAAGTAGCGCCGTATAACGAAAAATGGCCTGGCCAAGAAGAGGGGTAAATCCTCTGGATGGCAAGTGGTTAAAAAGAGAGAACAGTGCAATGCTTTGATATTGGTGCATCAACAATGTGCTGGTCTGCCTGGACTGCACCATCACGCAGCAGCTGGTGTGAATGGAACCTTAAAGTTTCACTTTGGATTTCTGCACAGATCTGAAAATATGACACAAAGCTCACCAGGCTTCAAGAAGAATACACACGAATCTTACATTTAGATGAGGTTCTGCTACATGAATCTGATTTGGGATCATCCTCTTGCAGTCTG